AAGAGAAGGCTGAGGGGGGACCTAGTGGCCTGTTACAAACTAGTCAGAGGGGACCAGCAGGCATTGGGGGAGTCCCTGTGCCCCCGAGCACTACCAGGAGTGACTAGAAACAACAGTCACAAGCTGGCAGAGGGTAGATTCAGACTAGATACCAGGAGGCACTACTTCACTGTCAGGGCGGCTAGGATCTGGAACCAACTTCCAAACGAAGTGGTGCTGGCTCCTACCCTGGGGGTCTTTAAGACAAGGCTAAACAATCACCTTGCTGGGGTCGTTTGACCCCAGCACTCTTTCCTGCCATGGCAGGGGGTCGGACTTGATGATCTGCTCAGGTCCCTTCCGACCCAACCAACTATGAAACTATGACCTGCTCCTTGCAGGTTGGTTGCTCTGCAGAGCCAGCCACACCTAGGATGAGAGCAGCAGCAACTTGGGAGCTGGGCTCAGCTTCCCCCAGTGGTTGAGGGCAAGGATGGGTTAAAGCCCAGCCCTGGGGTTTCCGATTGCTGCGGGGGCACAGCACCCACCCTGTGGGTTGGGGCAGACTTGTAGTACTGGACTGCCCTGTGTGGGTTGATTAACCCCTGCTGTACCCACAGGCATTGAGCTGACGCTGAGGGTCCAAAGCGACATGAGTCCCAAGGCGACGCTGAAGGAATTCAAAGAGCACCTGGGCAATGAGAAGTACCAGGGGCCGCTGCAGGCCCTCAAGGAGGAGGTGGAGACCTTTGCTGCGACATTCCCCATCCCAGGCCTGCCTGTGCTTTAAACCCTGGGCAGCCGCTGTGCCTGGGTCCCAGCACCGTAAGAGGGACCACTGGGATCAGGCCACTGCCGCCAGGGCAGTGCCTCCCACCACCTGCTCTGCTGTATCCCCCATGCACCCACCCCCCACAGGACCTCACCACCTCCTCCTACAGCCTAATGGTTAGCACTGTCAGCCCCTTGGAAGATGAGCATGTACCCACCTCCCCTGGCACTTTCAAGGGGCAGAACCCAGGGCACTGCCCCACACTCAAGGGCATGACCCAGGGAGTGGGAGAACCCACACTCAGACCCCAGTTCCTCAGCTGTAGTGCCCACAGACCCTGCACCCCTTTGTAGTGGGTGGAATCAGGGCCTGAGATCTCCCTTCGTCCAACTTTTATCCGGCCACCTTGGTGCTCCAGACTAGGACCACCTGGGCTCACAAAGGTGCCAATGCAGGGGGTTTGGGAACAACCTACACTGATACAGGCATGGGGCTGGATGCTGAGCCGCGGTTGTGCCCTATAAAGCTCTTCTCCATGCAGCCCAAGCTATATACTCATGCCTTCTAGGGGGGTGCTGCTTAGCAGGGATGCCTGCCTTATGCTCAGCAACATAAGGGAAGCGTTAGGATTCCCGTACCTTTGCACAGCATGCTCGTTTCAGAGCAGCTCAGCCACTTGAGAGCTTGCTGCTGGCAGGGGAGGACTGATGCACAAGCTTATGCTGTACGTAGCTTCCCAGCGCAGCAGGCACAGTTTGGCAGTCAGCTACAGAGGGAAAAATGCCTCTATTTCTGTACGTCACCCCTGAGCCCACTCCGCAGGGCCAGGCTCCCACACCAGCTTGCCTCTCCATGGTAACCAGACACAAGAGCCTGCCTCATAGTTCAGGATCATTTTTTAATAAGCACAGTAAAATTAGGAATCGAACACGAGGTACGACAAGAATTCAAAGCTTTAAAAAATACAACTGAGTTCCTCTTTGTGTCTCAAAAAATAATGGAACCCAAATAAATAGTTTGTTTAAAAGTACGTCTCGGCCCGGGCGCCCGGCGTGGGCACCTGGCTCAGTGCAGGACGCGGCACGACGACATGCTGCAGCTCCTCCTGGCCACCACGCGCGCAGGCTGTAGCCATGAGGGCTCTGGAAGTGCGGACAGGGACACGACATGCGGGGATGCAATGGTGTGGTTGAGGGAGACAAGAATTCATTGCGGGCCACCAGGGCAGAGCTGCCCCCCCTGCCCTCCACCAACTGCCTGCCCCTTGCACCGGAGGAGCTGGCAGGGCCAGACACCCTATACTTCTGCCTTCCTGTTCAAATGCAAATCAGGTATGTGATCTCTCAAGCAGTGGGAGCCCTGCTGCAGGGGGTGCCTGCCTGGTTGCTCTTCTAGACTCCCTGAATGGCCCAGTGTAGCTGCTCCTGGTCACAGCTGGGCTTTATAACCACCTGTCCACAGTGGTACCCCCCCATCCCACAGCAGGCCCTGCTGGCCCAGCCTTTCCAAGGCACTGATGCTGAAAAAGTGGGAGTTGGCCACCCAGGATCTCTCAGAATCAAGCTGTCTGACTATGCTCCTGCTCTTCTATGGTAGCCAAGCACACAGCACAGGAGCTTTCCTCTCTGTAGCCCAACTCCCCCCTGCCACCAAGGCGCTTGGTCTGTATTGCTAAAATAGAGGCAGCGCTTCCCTTGCTGGGGTTGAGGCCACACAGCTGAGCTGCGGGGAAGTGGCTGCTCCTGGGTTAGGATCAAGCTGAGCACTTGTCTCTGAAAATGATGCTTAGGGGGAACTCCCACCACCTTGTAGCTAAGCATCCGAGAGCTGGCACTAGCAGGGCGTAACTGGGAGCACAAGCCAGTGTGACACCTGTAGACACCAGGAGCTGGAGAACAAGCAGCATCAGAGCCTCCCCCAGCTTGGCAGCAAGGGACCAGGACGCCCTTTGCTTGGATGAATTCTCTGGTTGCGACTACAAACCATGTCTCCCCAGCATAGACAACACAGAGTAGGCAGCAGGTCCCAGCCGGCCATGCGGCATGGGGCCGGAGGGCGGGCACGGGCTGGCAGGCAGTACATACAGAAGCAGATAAGGGCCATGCATGACAACACGAGTCCAGCAGCGCGGAGACGCAGCTACACAAAGACGGTCTAGTGCTATACAGTGGCGATG